ACAGCCAGCACCCGGCACCGGCACCCTGTCTCCACCACGCGCACCCGGCGCCGGCACCCAGCACCGGCACCCTGTCCCCAGCATACGCAAACAGCCAGCACCAGCACCCGGCACCGGCGCTGTCCCCGCCACGCGCACAGCCAGCACCAGCACCCAGCACCGACCCTGCTTCCACTACACGCGCAGCCAGCACCAGCACCCGGCACCGGCACCCAATCTCCACCACACACACACACAACACCCAGCACCGGCACCCAGTTTCCACCACGTGCACAGCAAGGACCAGCGCCCGGCACCAGCACCCTGGCAACAAGAGCACCGGCACCGGCACCCAGCAAAGCACTTGTCTCCATTACGCGCACAGCCAGCACCCAGCACCGGCAGCCAGCTCACAGCACCAGCCCCGGCGCCCGGCACCCAGCACCAGCAACCTGTCTCCACCACGTGCACACCCAGCTCACAGCACCAGCACCGGCACCCGGCACCAGCAACCTGCCTCCACAAAATGCACAGCCAGCTCACAGCACCAGCACCGGCACCCGGCACCAGCACCAGCAACCTGTCTCCACCACGTGCACAGCCAGCTCACAGCAGTCTCCACCACATGCACAGCCAGCTCACAGCACCAGCACCAGCACCCAGCACCAGCAACCTGTCTCGAAAGTGCGCACGGGCAACTCATTGTTATTTGAAGTAAGAACCCCATAGCTTCGCTATCTGGGGAATCAAATAATTTTTGCCTAGTTCAGGGTCTTTTTAGGAGTGCAAGCATCCAAATGAGCATGTTTCACTAGCGTTTGTCTTTGGGGAGGGCGATCAACTTACCCAACACTTAAAAGCGGCAGATCTCCTGGTCTTCAAGGGTGTCAGCGAGTTGGGACTTTGTGCAGCATTTCTTGCGGCACACTTGTTCCCTGCGTGACCAAGGTTGATGATGTTCCAGGAGCACATGACAAATCAACAAAAGACACACTAGATTTGAGAGTCAGGAAGACAGCCAGAGGCTTGTTTAGCTGATTCTTTTTGACTTTTTTTGTGAAAATTTTATGAAGAAAACTAATTGGTCCTCAATTTTTGGAGATTTCATTTTTGATGTTTTTAATGATAGTTGTTTATGATTTTTTATGAATTATTTTATTGTTTTATGGATTTCCACCAAATCCGAAATTCGACAAAATTCATAAAATTTTCATTAAAAAACAATCATAAAATATTCGTAAAATTTTCAAAAAATCATAACATTTTCTTTTTTTATATTTTTACGATGTCGAGATTCGTAAAAAACAATAAACTTATTACAAATTTTATGAATATTTTAGGATTTTTTTAATGAAACTTTTAAGATTTGTTGAGCACATCAAGAAACTATAAAATAGTTTCGTAAATTTTTCAAGGTAAAAGCCAAACATTGTTTTTCATAAATGCGTTTCGTAAAGTTTTCATAAATAAATCATAAATAAAACATAAGATGTCAATAATTGAAAATGGAATGTAGGTTTTTTGCATGGACCAGGTTGTTTGGCTTTTAAAGAATATTTGTGATTGTTTACAGCGTCCTTTCTTTGGCTGCGTGCTTCAGGAGTATACGCATGTGCGCAAACCAAGGTCTTCCGATCATCGAAGCAGCAGGGAGTCTGGGAGTACAATTGGAAGCACGCTCGGTGATGCGAGGCCAGCGTGTGACGCCATGACTGCAGCGACATCCTGGCGAGTAGTGTTCTTCCGTACGATAGGGCAACACTTTGGAATTTGATCGAACAATACGGCTTCGCACATGGATGTGGCACGATCCGATGAACAAGGAATGCGGACACAGAACCGGTACCGATGGTAATATAATGTAGGCAACTCATTCAGGCTCCTTGTCTCCAGCGTGGCTTCCAGGTCTTCGATGTTACGCAGAAGGTCTGGGTGCTGCTCCTCCAGCATCTCGGTCGTTTGCGCATAGAGGAGGTCACAGTGGTCTTTGTCCTGACCTCTTTGAAGACCTGCTTGGCCGATCTTTGCGGCTAACTCATCTCGCAGTACTTTGGTAGGTGTTGCGAGGAGGTATCGGCATGCGCCGTGCCAGGAACTCCTTTGCGGACGGATGGATGTACCGTATGACCGCAAGCAATCAAGACCATGAATAACAAGCGGGTAGTCATGTACATGCGCACAATGATGGACAGAAGGCCAAGTGCAAATAGAAGCAAAACACTTGGGAGTGCGCAACTGCATTAAATCTGCCTTTCGTGTTGTCCAACAGCAATTTAATCTTCTTGGACTCCATCTCTGATGATCAGCCAAGGCACAATTGCCGCAGCACCCGAATCGCTAGCGAAGATTTTCCACAACCTGGACCTGCTGAGATGTGGTAGGCGCAACGGAAGCCATGGTCCGGCAGCTGTTCGGCAAAATCCTGTGTGAAGGCCTGATATAGGCAGTCGATCAGCGCATCTTCTTCCTGTCCGTGTTGCGAAAATGTAGGAGTGAGTGGTGTAATTGTTTTTCTTGGCGCGCGGTTTGCGCACGCCGTGTGACACGGAAAGCTGTTACTACCAATGAATTTCGCTGCTCTAGCCTTGCGTGGGTGTGAAAAATGACCTTTGTATGACTGGCCTGGGCTGCGGTCCCGACGGGAGCCGTCGCACTGCTTGGAAGACAATCGGCAGGAGATGCTGATCCTTGTTCGTCCTGCGAAAAGATCACAGAAACTCACAAGCCTAAGTTGACGACATCGTTTCGTCGCTGAAGTAGAAACTGTCCTGCGCCAGCAGCTGTTGCCTCATGGTCGACCCATTGTGAGCGCGCAACAGACCGCGCCATGTCCAGCGGCACCTCTGCGCACTGTCGAACACGACCTGCACCATCTCCTCATTCACCGGCATGGTTGGTTCTATTTCGAACTTACTGTTGTCTGCAGAGGAGGACAAGACCAGTCCGAAGGATCCTTGCAGAAAGTGGACTTTGACGCCCATCCGCAGTGTCTCTGCGATTTCTGCACGGCGAGCCAACCAGACCAGGTGGTGTTTGTAAAAGGAAGAAGGAAGGTGATCCAAAGGGCGTGTGCACAGAGCCCCTTTCGGTGTGGTGTAGACCACCATGGCAGTGCGCACATGGACCATCCCGCACTGCGCATTTGGCTAGATCGCGCAACTGGCGACCCAGCGCCAGCACAAAGGTGGCAAAGGGCAGGGCTGTCACCTCTTCCACGTGCAACTGCACCGGTGGCACGACGCAGTCGAGGGCCACGAAGTGAGCAAACGTCGTGTCGAAGACCTGTGCAATGTCATGGGCGAGAAGCCTCGCAGGTGGCAGCCATGAGTGCGTGATTCGCAACTCTCCAGGATCCTCTCGCTGCGGGCTCACGGCTGTGACCCTTTTGCGAAACCGCTGTGCACTCGGCCTTGCACTCCCAAGGAGCGCTGTGGCTGCGCCCAGCAGGGCTCGCAGTGCAAGCGCCAGCATCTCCCCAGGCCGCCCCAGGAGCAGAAAGGGCATGCCATCGCTGCTCGGTCTTCTCCAAACAATTGCAGGATGTTTCTTCATGATATGTTTATCACACCCGCATCGAAAACACGATCGGATGAGCCACCGGAACGGGACACAGACCAGCAGTTTTTGTTCAGCTTTGAACACATACCCACGATTGCCGATCAATTGTTGGAATGGACTCTATCAGGTCATCATGCTATTCCTTTGGGAGCAACCCTCCTGCACCAAATGAAAACTGAAAGTAACACCACCATGTTGCCATCACAGTTCTGGTTGGTCCTCTCGTTTGACTCTTTCTTCTCCGTTTGATTCCTGTCCTTTTTCGTTTGACTCTTTCCTTTTCCGCTGGAGTCCTTCCTTTTCCATTTGTCTCTGTCTTCTTCATTTGAATCTTTCCTATTTCGTTTATCTCTTTCCTAGTTCGTTTGAGTCTTTACTACTTCGTTCGAGTCTGACCTACTTCGTTGGACTCCTTCCTTCGTTTGATTCCTTTCCTTCTTTGTTTGACTCTTTCCTAGGTTGTTTGACTCTTGCATTTTCCGCTTGAGCCCTTTCATGTCCGTTTGACTCTATCTTCTTCGTTTGACTCTTTCCTAGGTTG